CTTTACAATGCTGTAAATGTTACTTCAATAAAATATTTGTTTAACTGAATTTAACAATAAAAGTCAAATAACAATACAATAATAACCAAAACTACTTGGAGAAGTTTCTGTGCATGTAACCAACAGTACCATTCACCGGCTATTCACACAGGACACTGCATGTTTCAGGTTTCCACCTACTTAGTAAACATGATCATAATTCACCATGTCCACCAGTTTTGAAATTAAGCGATCCTTGATGATTTTTTTTTAATTTTGTAGGATTTGCATTATTTAAAAGTAAGTGCTATTTTGCATTATTTCAAATTTATGAAATTTCACTTAAATTAAAATCAGTAAAACAGCAACCATATTACATTTTTAAAAGGTTTACTGACGTGTAATTTACTCACCATAAAACTGCCTTTTAAGTGTAAAATTCAATAAGGTTCTGATATAGTTATAAAGCTGGGCAACCATCACCATAATCAAATGTTCAAATCATACCAAATATGTGAAAAAGCTGAGGTACAATTGACTTATTTTATGTCTTTTTAAACTGTTATTAACTTCACCTACTAAAACTAATCAAATAATCAGTAACTCAAAAAATTATCTAAATTTGCTATTTTTTAGATGGATATAATTTTCTTTCAATAAACACATTGTTATCTGAAAAGAAAAATGCTACTATAGATCTGAGTCATAGAGCAGGAGAGGGGAGAAAAAGGAGTCAAAATGGGAGGGAAGAAGAGCATAAGGAAATATGGTGATGACTCACAGATGCTGTGGTGGGAGATTTATGCAGACTACATCTGTGGGGAAAATCAAATATTATATAAAAATGAACAATGGTGTAAGAAACTAAAAACATTCAAAGAAATTTTTTAAATGTACTATGGATCCAGAAAATAAAAAGCTAAGACCATTTAAAATATACTATAAGAATCATGCTGAGGAGGATTTAAACTGTCCTATACTCCTATAAGCTAGTATTAGCAAATGAATCCACTCTGAACAGCATAAATAATATTAAGTAGAGTCCCTGTTTATATTTTGAATTCTAAATTAGTGAAATAAGTTTTGAGAAGGTTCTACTCACCCACATTTATATATATATGCATACATGTATATATGTATGTATGTGTGTGTGTTTGTGTGTGTATATATAAGTATATTTCTTTTAAAAATTATTTATTTATCTTTGCATAAAGAACTGGGGTGTAGGGCAGGGGGCTGACAGGGTTCACCAGAGAGAGTGGGCAATAGAACAGGCAGATTTACTGAAATGCACAGCTAAGGGGAGCAGTGGGTGAGAAAGGAGAGGTCTGCTGTGATGTAATGTGGGTCAGCTCCCTGGTCAAGGATTGAATTCAAGCTGTACTGGTGACAGCACTGAGACCTAACCCCTAAGCCACCAGGGAGGCCCTATATATATATTTAGTTTTAGTTATTGGCACAGAGTTCTTAAAATCTTTGGAATTTATGAATCATGGGGTGAGAGGAGGTCAGGTTCTCAAACAAACCTCAATTTATGGAATGAGAAACTCTTGGAGCATGATAGTTTCTAAGAGACCCATGTGACTAGAAGGGTAGAACTTTCAGTTCCTACCCCAAGTCCCAAGAAGGGTGGGGTTAAGGGGTGAAGTTAATCATCAAAGGTCAATGATGTAATTTGTCTACATGGTAATCAACCATGCCCACAAAATGGAGTCTCCTAAACTATAGGGTTCAGAGTGTTTCCAGAATGGTAAACACATAAAGTTTAGGAGGTTTTTGAGCCTGGAGACAGCACTGAAGCTCTGGCCCCATTCCTCTTATCTTAAACTATACATCTGTCCCATTTGACTGTTACTTAGTTATATCTTTTATAATAAACCGGCAATATTAAGTGTTTTCCTGAACTGTTCTAGCAAACCATCCTGTCAGAAGAGGAAGTCGTGGGAACCCTATCACCATCAATGATTTATATATCAGACATATGGGGTAACTGGACTTGTGATTGGCATTTTGAGTGGGAGACTGTCTTACGGGGTTGAACCCTTAATCTGTGGATCTGTCCCAACCCCGGGTAGCTAATGTCAGAACTCAATTACATTGTAGAATTCTCAGTTGGTATTTGCAGAGAACTGCTTGGAGAATTGCTTGGAATGGAAAACCCACACATTTGGTGTGGGTGATAAAAAGTCTAAGAAAATAATGAAAAGTTGAGAGGGTTGTCAGATCAAAATCTAAAGCTATCTTAATTCAGAATAATGACTCAGAAATGATAACTTAGTAAGAATAATAACTATATTATCTAAATCCTGGATCCAAAAAACAACTGTACAGCTGACATAATAATATATGGAGACCCTTAAGCACTTTACTAAAAACTAAAACAGTAAGTCAGGTCAGCAAAGTGGCAGGTTACAATATCAATATCAGTTGCCTGCTTATAAGTAAACAATGAGCTAGAAGAGAAAGAAATTAAGAAAACAATCCAATTTACACTTATAGAAAAAAAATAGTATACCTAGGAATAAACCTAAAGAATAGTAAAGGACCTATATTAAGCAAACCATAAGGCATTGCTAAAAGAAATAAAAGAAGACACGAAGATATGAAAAGATAATTATTTTAGGTACTATATGACCATTTTTCAGATAACAAAACTGAGTTTCGATAAATTATATAATTACACAGCTAACAAAAGGTGAAGCCAGGGCCTAACAGACTGTACTTTTGGTTATTATAAGGATCTAAACCAAAGGACAATTAGACCAAAGAGTAATCCAATAATTCAATAAAGCACTACAATAAATTCCCTCAGGTGGAAAGAGCAGTTCATTCCTTTGATTCCTTGTTTAACCTTGTAACTTCCTTCCACAAAATGAGTGAAATTTGTCTACCGTGTACCTGTGAGAGGAAGAATGCAAACCGAGTTAACCGCACATTCCCACATATATATGGAGGAAGGAAAATATTTGAAAGGAAAAGAAGATCCAAACTAAATGAATTTACTAGAATAAGTTTCCTTACTTCAGGAACTATGGGATTTCTAGGGTGCCTGCTAGGATTACATTTCTTCCAGGGAGTTTTGCTGATAGGCATAACCTTGTCCACAAAAGTTTATAATCAGCCCATTTAAAGAAGATGTCTGTTATTTTATTTTTTCACATTTTAAAAGATGACTTTTTCAGGAAAAAGAGAAGCAAAGAGAGGCACCTGCATACTGACAGGTGGGCAGGAGAGCAGCCAACATGTGTGTATTTGAATTGGGAAGGCAATAATAAAGCATGGTGGTTAAGAGATGGACTCTAAGGTCAACCTGCCTTGGTCCATATTTAGGCTCTGCTACTCATTAACTATGTTATTGGGGGAACTTATATCTTTGTACCTCTAAAAAAGAGGATGATAACTATACTTACCTCCCAATAGTTGTTGTGAGGACTAAGTGAGGTAACTATTACTCAAAATAGAGTCTGACATGGAGAAGAAACTTAGCAAAGGGACTGTACCTGGTAACATGCAAACAATGAAGCTATTAGAAATTAAATACAGGAAGGAGATAGTCTAGATGTTTGCTAAGAAATAGTCCAACTTAAAAACGTTCAAATTTGTAAGAGTAAATAAATTTTAATTTCAAGTAAGAAAAAAATTCTAAAACAACAAAGTATTCACTAAAGACAGATTAATAGTTTAAATTTACCCCTGAAGCACTGAAGGCTTTACTAGTCTCTCTTTATAATTTTTACTTAATTTCTGACTATTAACTACAAATTGCTTCTCAATAACATAAATGTGTAAGTGAGCTGATGGTTAGGAAATGAGGATAATTAATTACCTTTTAAATAATTTTGATTAGTATCAAGTAGCAGATATAACAGATATATTCCCTTACTTGTTTGTCTTGGGTCTTTCAATCTAGAAATTTAAAAATGGAAATTTACATAAAGGAACAATATCCAAACAATTCCCACAAAGAAACAAAATATAACAGCTTCAAGTCAAATGGTATCTCCAAAAACAATAGAGCAAGACACTATAAGACTGCAGAGAAAAGCCTGACAACCTAATAGCCAGTGATCGCCCAGGTTAAGATATGGGAGAGGCCAGAGGCTTACAACAATCCTAAGCTTAACCAAATGTATAGACGGATAATGGATCCCACTCTAGAAACCCTATATCCATTTACAATTTCAAATTAACAAATTTCCTCAGAACTACTTGAAGGTCCCCAGAATAAGTCATCTGTTCCAGGGTCTTTTTATCCAGAAACAGTATGAAACCAAAGCAGACCCTATAGAACAATACTCAAGAAATATTTATAAACTGTTAGCATGAAGAAATCAAAGCTGAGCTCTGCCAACCTCTACATTTACTAGGAAAAAGAAACTTTAGGCCAAATCTGAGATGCATATTACAAGATAACCAGCCTTTTATGTTCAGAAATAAATGTGGAAAAACTTAGCATTCTTTAATTAGTTTTACTGGAAAACACCAAACTCCTCACAATAAAAAAATTTCATTATTTTTAACAAAGAGATGTAATATAGTGTTGTCTCATTTCAGTCTTTGAAGCATTACCAGAAGTCAAGATCAAGTGAGATCTAAGAAACACAATCATTTAAAATATTTTAAACAAGCTACATGCACCTCTGAAATGGTGCACCTCTGTCCCATTTTTATATTATTATGAATTACACTGTGTTTATGTCATTAGATTTGAGTATTTTTTACTAATTTCTCTGCTTTTAGCATAGCCATAACATTTTGATATATGGAAATGACAGATGAGAAAATAATATTCATTAATAAATAAGTTTTGAGAAAGCCTTTTCAACTTAGTTTATATACACTTTAACCAAGATATTTTCACAAAGTGTAATGTTAAAATAATGTCAAAATCCTACCTATGGTTATATACTTGAATTTATATCATAACGGCATTAAATTCGCCTGAAGAACAAAACTGAAAGAAAAAAAACACACACACAAGAAGAAAATCACATATAAACCATATAAAACATTCCCCTTACCAATATCATTAGCCAAGGAATTTGGATCAGATGCCCCCAGAGTAGCTTCAAACTCCTCCTGGAGACGATACGCTCTTTGCAGTAGTGCTTCAAGTTTATGGATAAATTCTGTACTAATAATATCCTACAAAGAGCAAAAAGGTACACACAACAAATATTAGAATATAATGTTAAAATTCTAAATAGTTTCCATTTTTAAATGAAAGTCATTAAGTATGGGATATAAAAAAAACCATTGGTGAGCAGTCAAAAAATTACTAATGGAAGTCAGGAGGAGGCCTGTGTTTCTAGTCATCTTTAGCAAAATTACTTCTATTTACAGGGATACACTTTCTTTACCTGTATAGGCCTGTGTTTCTAGTCATCTTTAGCAAAATTACTTCTATTTACAGGGATACACTTTCTTTACCTGTATAGTGAAGGAGTTAAATTAGATCAGAGTCTCAAAATATGCTACCTGGACCGGTAATATCAATATCATCTAGGATACTTATTGAAATATAAATTTGTCATCTCCAGGACTTCCTCAGTACCACTGAATTAGAAATCCCATGGAGGGGACTATGGCCAGCTACTGCAGTATGAGTTCAATCCCTGGCCAGGGAACTGACTCACAAGATACAGCAGACCTCTTCTGTCTTGCCCACTCTTCTCCTCAACAATGTATTTCAGTAGCTTTGCCTGTCCTGTTCCCTACTCTGTCGCTGGTGAATCCTTTATCCCCATCCCCCACACTTCTGGCCTACACCCCAGTTCTTGTATGTATAAATAAATAAAATTTAAAAAAAAAGAAAGAAAAACCCTACAGTAGTTTGCAACATGCTTAAATTTGGGAATTGATACTTAGCAGATCAATACCGACCAGTCCATATGAATATAGCAGCAATTAATGAGACCCAAAGAAGAAATCTGACTTTAAGGTTTTCTTTAAAATCATTAATTCTATATATTTTTGCAAAATTAGGAAATTTAATGATTTAACAGCAAATTTGAGATTTAACAACTAACTGGACAGAAAAAGCCCAATGAAAAAGACCTTTACATTAACTCCAAGGGAAAAAATAAATGTCTATTAAGTGGAACAAAAAACTAGAATACTCAATCAACATTGAAAGTAGTTTGGTACTATGAAGAACACTCTCAGAGATCACCCTTACATCAACACTTTCTTCAGCAATGGCATCGCCTGCACCCAATTTAATGGAACCACAGGCTTCATCTTCAGCCTGTCTATTTCGAAAAGTTAGAGCTTGCTCCCATCGACGCAATGCTTCTTCAAACAATTCCATGCCTAAAATTAAGAACAGAACAATTATAAATAAGCAAAACTAATGTCAAAATAAAGTCATTTTCAGTCTATTTTTTTCTCGGTTATTATCAAAGACACAGTCTAATTTTGCAACTGAAAAATAATTTTATGCTCACATTTCATAATACATTCTTAATTTCTGAACATCTTCTGATCCAATAGTTCTATCAACTAAAAATCAAAGAAACTGGAGAGAAACTGGTGAATCCTCTTCACCGCCCCTGCACCTCTAGCCTGTACCCCAGTTCTGTATGCACAAATAAATATGCCTTTAAAAAAAAATCAGAGAAAATTAACACTATTTTCATCAATTTTTAAAAAGGTTACTCAAATTTTTATCAATTTTTAAAAAGGTTACTCAAAAGGGTGCTTGGAATTTTCCTAGAACAGTAGCATGAATTCTTCAAAAGTCCAACAATTATGGCTAATTTTTTTTTTAAGATTTATTTATTTATTCATACAGAGCTGGGGTACAGGCCAGAGATGCGGAGGGTGAGAGGATTCACCAGAGACAGAGTGGGGTGCAGAACAGGCAGATCGACGAAGTACACTGCTGAGGGGAGCA